TTCTTTAACATGGCGATATTCGTTGTTAGCGTTGGTGGTTGCAATAACTGATAAGATGGCTGTAAAGCTACATTTCTCACAGCATCTTAGAAACTTCAAGGACACACTGAGTCCATGTTCTCCTGCAGTTAGTGAGCTGGACTCTACTGAGATGTACTGAAAGACAGTGGAGTGAACACAAACTGCCCACACACACAAGGATTTCATAGTTTAGGGATTCCTAAGTAGACTAGTATTTCACAGTTTTTTAACATCACTGCTTCTGTTGGGAACATCAGGGCAGCTCCTACTGAAACCGAATATTTATTTTTTATTTGGTTGATTATTTCCCCTCAGTTTTCAATACGTGCTCACTCTGTGTGTGTGTGTGTATGTTTCCTCTTGTGTGTTGTGCAGTTTCAAAATGGAGGGTGACTCTCGTGGCTGGCTGGAGATCGAAGCTGCCACAGGACAGATCAGGACCAAAGAAAAGCTGGACAGAGAGACCCTGGAGGCCTTCGAAGTCACCGTCACTGCATTCGAGAAGGGTGAGAGGACACGGAGACGCACATCACACATGCTCAGTTATTACAAAGACTCAGAGTCAGAACTTATTGTAGAACGGGCAAGAACACTGACAAAGTTGTTTTTTAAATCATTTCCCTGCTACAGAGAACCCCGAGATGTATGCTGAACACGTCGTGTCCGTGCGGCTGCTGGACATCAACGACAACATCCCCAAACTGATAGAGACCGAGGCCTTCATGTGCGCAGCCAATCCCAAACCTGTCATCATCAAGGCCCAAGATGGAGACAGTGCTCCCTTCTCCCAGCCCTTCACCTTCACCTTGGCAAACAAGAAGTCCCCCAACTGGGACCTGAGCCGTGTTGATGGTGTGAAGTCATACAGAATATTACAAGATAGAATAGCTGAAAAGGTGGAAACTGAGATTTTTACTTATTTTTTGAGACATTTTATTTATTTAGTTTTTTTGTGTGTCACGCAGATACCTCAGCTAAACTGACCCTGAGGAAAACACCGACTGAAGATAAAACCTTTCCACTTGCCATCAACATTAAAGACAATGCAGGGATGGGAATCACACAACGGTTTGAGGGTGAGTCCAGTTTGTCATATAGGGTGAAAACAACACATATTAGTCCTAACAATGTTCCCTTATTAACAGGAACACATGCGATCTGCTTCAGTGTTGAACTGGACTAAGATATACTCAGATACACAGATAACATGATTAGAGAGTAAACCATTTCCAATGTATTAGCTGGTATATAAATTTGAAAAAAGTGGCAATGGTGACTTAT